AATAATAATAATAATAATAATAATTATTATTATTATTATTATTATTATTTTAAAAATAGTTTTAAGGAGAGCAACAGCTGGACTGCACCAGCAGATTATTTGGTTTTAAAAAAAGAAAACCTATATTACACTAAGAAATCTGTAGAAATCTGTCATCATATCTTTAGTCAGCAAAAACCCTAGAGCTGAGGATAACTGTTTGCCCCAACTTGTTTTTCATCTAACAAGAATATGGCTTCATAAAGTCTGTCATGATCCTACAGAAAATATTATATTTTGCTATATAGTTGCATGCATATACATGTTTCCACAGCCAGATATAATTGCCACTTACCCTGCTCATCCATCAAGACATTATCAGGCTTTATGTCCCTAAAATAGAAGTTGGAAAGAGAGAGAAAATGCATCAATAGGGACAAAGTTATGACAGTAAATGTCTAGGGTAGGATGTAAGATCTTCATAAATTATCCCCAAATCATTCTATCTCTATTCTGCAAATGTTGTCAATGAGTTTCATTCTACCTGCAGTTGTAAGTTGATAAAATAATTATTGGGATCATGAGTGCTGATTAAAACTGGAGGCATAATTTTTGTGGGTTTTTTCCATTGAATTGTCAGCACTGAATTTCCTAAACTACCATGTTAAACTGTAATGATTGTCTATCACCATCAGCGATATTTTTTCTTCCTGCCCCTTGTCTTCTCTTCCCTTATTAGGTTCCATGACAATCACATTATGAGCTGCAATTCTGTATGTAGTACTGATAAATAACAGAAAACAGTGTCCGGTTGTCTTTGGTAAAATTAATATAGTTTTGATGTGTTGATTGATCAATTATTATTATTAATTTATTTATCATATTTATATAGCCACCCATCTCACACAAGGTGACTCTGGGTGGTGCACAATAAGGTTAAAACAAATAATAAATATATTAAAAATATATAAAAACCAACTAAAACAAAAAATAATAGATGAAGGGATGTTAAAAATAATGGAGCCACCTCGCTAGCTCACCTGTCCCCTGAAACTAATGTATGAACACCAAGAGAGCTGGTTTGGTGTGGTGGTTAAGGTATCAGGCTAGAAACTGGGAGACTGTGAGTTCTAGTCTTGCCTTAGGTACAAAGCCAGCTGGGTCACCTTGGGCCAGTCACTCTCTCTCAGCCCTAGGAAGCAGGCAATGGCAAACTGCTTTGGAAATCTTGCCAAGAAAACTGCAGGGACTAGTCCAGGCAGTTGCCAGGAGTCAACACTGACCTGAAGGTGAAGGGGGAGGAGGAGGGGGCGGGGGGGGGGGGGATGTGATGGAAGGCATGAGCGGGGTGGATTCGGGATGGGAGCTTCAAGGTTACAGGGAAGGGGAGTGACATCCCAAGCATCTCCTCAGCCCCCAGCTGGACTGTGTGAAAGTAAGGAGGAAGAGACTGGCCCCTCCCTAAGGGCTTGACTTGGTTGCTCTTGCTGGGGAATTAGAGTTAGTCTGGTGAGATTCTGTCTATTAGGTGCAAGCTAATAAAGAAACTGAGCTGATTTCCAGACTTTCTCATGTGATTCTTGGGCTGAACCTGATGGAGGAGGAGGAGGAGGAGGAGAAGGAGAAAGCAGACTAGATTAAATACATTACAGTAGAACACCAGAACACCTTTTCCAAGCATTTCATTCCAAACATATTCCAAACAATA